CGAACTATTCATGCAGAATGCAGCTTGATAGATTATGAAAGCGTCTATCGATTTTGTAGCGTTTCGTTGCCTCTCTTTTTTCCAACATTTTATACGGAGCGTCTACGGCGGGCCACTTACCCGTCCTAAATATCGTAAGGAGATCATCATCATAAGTGAGACTTTCCAAACTTCGAGGGTAGAGAGCTTTGAACCTTAACCTAAACCGCATCGTGAAAACCGTGTATATTGTGCAATCCTAATTATATCAAAAATGACAGTGATAGAAAGCGCTCCGAAACACAAGGGGCTCGAATCAGTTTGAGAAAGTCACGCGCTGCGTGTAGTATCACTCGCACGGAACAAAACAACTCTCAGCGACCCGCAATGTAAGTTCAGCATCTACTGCCTTTACACAACCCGTCCCCTTAAACGCTAGGGGATAAGAACTATTTCAGACTGATCGGGAATCACTGATCGTAAGATACCGAAGGGAAACTAAGGTTTGTGCTTCAAGTATACCAAACAAATATGTGTAACACAATTAAATCAAAATAGTATAGCACTGGATCGGAAAAATCCCTTCCGTAAAGGGATAAAACAATACTTATATGATAAATATATAATATAATAATTTATAATAAAAGGTTGTTTCCAAAAACAAAATGTGAAGCACAATCTTACTGGTGAAAACGCAACTACTTTCTTAAACCCCGCGCAAGAGCCATCTGTGGCTTTTGCCAGGTGCCGAAGGCTGATGCTGTAATTGTTGTTTGAAAGACTTTAAGCCATTAACTCGCATGACGATCAGTCTTGCTTGCGTCATAACTAAGTTAAGAACTTTTTACTAATTCTACAGCTTTTCTACTACACCTTGTTTTCTTTTCGTTGCAAAATATATAGTTGCCAACTTTTGTTTGTTTAGTTATTAAACATTACGTCAAGTACTACTGCCCTACTAGTCATGCGTAACTTAGCTAGCCTTCTGAAGTTGTTTATAGTATCGGATCCTCATCCATGCCTGGTATGTAAAACTATAACCGTAGCCAAATATAGTTATGTTGTAGTTATGGAAGTTAGATTAGGCGAGTACATGTGACATAGCTGTTGATAGAATGGTCCAAATGTACAACTGATCATGCTTGATCAGCGATTAGTACGCAGCAGGATATGCAAGGAGTTCTGTGCCAACTATCGCCTATAGGTATCGTTCACCTCGAGCCCTCCAATGTTTTCCTAAAACCGCCGGAAGGGTCCCCGTTCGCCACCATCCTTAGAAAGCGAAGACCGTCCAGATTAGAAATAGCAAGAGTCGTTCTTCGTGTCCTATTTTGTGCTGCCGGCCATCATAACAGCCACATCAATATGCGCTTTAGATACGGATTGAACCTTTTGCCTATATGTCTTGTACAGATAATGCTAGCGGAAGCTATATCAACACACGGCGAACATTCTACTGCTAAAAAAGGTAGAGACTGCCGCAGGTGGCACTTTTTTATTTCTTTTTTTTTTACATTTCTTACACTCTTTTATGTCGATATAATTGCCGTAGAAGCGTCGATTCGTTTGCCCACATTGAAGCCGAGGAGGATTGTAGATAAGTAAATGCATTTAATTACCCACACGTCGCTGCACAGACGTTTAGGGATAAACTAAGATCAAACCGAAAAGTACTGTTGCTTATTACCTATTTTGTATGCACATATGTGTATAGTTTCAACACAGACTAATACTTACGGTCGACCGCTGATTGCATTGTGACCAACCTAAACGCGGCACAGTAATAGTCATAATGATAAAAAATTTTATACATTTTCTGTTGCATGATGAGGGGCAGTTGAGGTAGACAGCAATGGATGATTTGTTACCGACTCTGCATCTCTCGGTTTTTAATATCACACAGAGTATGAGGTTGTTGCTGCCCCGGGGCCAGTCGCTATGAGCATCCCGACAAACATTCTAACGTACCGTGGCATCCACAGCAGGAGGCCGTAGAGGGCTCGAGGTGGTGGCTGTCCAAGTGTCCGCACCAGAACCCTCCCCGAGGTATTCTCCATGGTCCACACCTTTCAAGAACCGTCTAAACACATTTCTAAAGTGTGTACGTATGGCATAAGAGGACGAAAGTTTTCGAGTACAAGTGACTTGCCTAAAGCACATGTTTACAGGACGTGGAAGGCTGCAGCACACGTAAAGACTATCAGACCGCTAGTGGCGCCACGGCAGGCCATGACCAAAAGCCTAGATTGCCACAGAGTCGTTCTGCGCAATGTTATGCTGTTGCTGTAGCTACAGCATGTTCCGAATTTTAATTTCAAAATGGTATACAATTTAGTATTTTTTCTCTGTATAATTACGATAGGTTTCCATGACGTAAAACTAAAGTGAATTTTAGAACATGTTGAAAAATATGGAACAATATAACCTAGCAGAGCTTGAAGATAAGATTTTGATTTCCAATTTAATTATCGGCACACATAGACACGTGCGCAAAATACAGGCAACCTATAGTGTCATATATGAATATATGGTGAGGCGTATTCTGCCTCCACAGCTAACACGAAGTACATACGTATATAATCAAAAGTGCTTTGTTCAAATTTATAGTAATTTTATTAGAAATTAGAAGCGCGCTTGAATAGACGACACATTTTGTTTCGCTGAGGGTAACTCCGGAAAAGAACCACTAATTTTATAGTTTGTTACCAATAGTCGTAGTCGCCTGATTCATGAAAGTAGGGGCAGTAGCGGTCGTCTGTCACTGTGCCAATACACCAGACTACGATGATTAATAGGGCGAGAGGGCAAGAAAAGGAAATAAAGTAACAGCGGCCGTCAAGCCGCTGTACCACGAGGCGTCATTAAAGTGTAAGGTCGGGGCCATGCGCAATATCAACAGAACCAGCGTGGACAACCTTGAACCTTAGTCACCGCCATTGTCATACCAAAGGCAGCAGCGTTGGCAATCGCTAGAATCAGGCCGCTATTTCTGCCGAGCTCTTTGCTGTCTCTGTGCACTGGCTGCCTGTTCAACTGTTCCTGTAAAACTGTCTGATGACGAGACCTTTTCGAACTAAGAAGCGCCAAGCGTCTTCTCCGTTCTACTCGTTCACAGTCTCACATCGTTCGCTCTGCGGCCATGCAGCGTTCATGCTGGCATAAGGCTACTCCGGTTGCCTTTGTTGTTGTTGACTACTGCGAATGTGGGGGCTGGGCCGCAGATTGTACATTTGCATGGCCGGATAACTGGCGATGGTGCCGGCGACTGGCTGGCGCGGGCTCATTACGTCCGGACGAGCGACTAACGGATCAAATTTGCAGTATGTCGCAGCTGATGATGTGTGGTCGGTTCGGTAAGATTGAGTCGCTAAAGCAGCATCTGCGGCAACTGTTTTGATTTCTTAAATGAGGGAAAGTGCGCGTTAGACAGAAGGAGCAATTAGGAAAAAAGTCTGCAATGGGAGAAAGAAAATGGAACAAGGGCTGTCCTCAGTCTGCGGCCCGTAGTAGGCAAACTGGCAGCGCCAGCGCCGCTCTCAGACCAGCAAAGCAACAGCACCCGATTTCTAACCCTATTTAGATACGGATCATGTTTTTGGTCCTGATGTAAGATGCCAGGAGTGACAGGGACTGTCTCACGCCCGTATTTATATTTTCGTTGATGGAACGACCTACTACTATTACTGTCTTTCTACTTTTTGACGCTGCTATTCCTGCAGGAATTTCTCTCGGCCTGATAGGCCGTAACCTTCTAGACGGTGCTGCGGGTCGTTCTCTTGACCCAAAAATCTATTAGTGGACATGTAGTTCAGCTGGGTTCGGTCAGCGGGATATTTGTTCTTGCAAACAACCGCAAATAGCGGCCGAACAATGAACAGCGTAATATGCCTTGAAGCGTTAAAGAGTCGTCAATAACGACGAATTACACGCTACGAATAGCGGACTATACGAGCACATATAATGCTATCCACCCGCACAGAAGCACAATGGAAGTAAGGTAATTAAAGATATGATAGCAGTTAAGTCGTTGTGATTACGACCAGGGGTGCCAAATGGGCAGTTTTTTGGGGTGCGTTACGACCGCAAGTTCAAGTATTAACTTTAGCACGAAATAAGCAAAAGGTAGGTTAGTTCGAGAAACCTTAGAAAAGTACAATAAGACCCATTTTGGTCTCCTAGATGATGCAAATCCTGCTATACCGAAGACATAATTCCGAGAACATGTTCACATTATAAAAGAACATGATTACAACGACGAGATTATAAAAGTAAACCACCAGTGTTCCAGGCACTAATGGCCAAATACGGTTATGCATAACTGTAAAAGATCGGTACTTAGATGGGCACCGTAGCATGTACTGATCGTATCGGCCATATTAAAATAGCTGGCAATCCGACCCGATGCTCAACGGCAGTAAGAAACTCGTGGAACTCGAAAGCATTGTATTTTTGTAGAGACAGTAGAATCGTAGCGTGGCTGAAAATCGACAAGATAACGGTCAAATCGGGAGCATTTACTTGAGCGTGTGCGATAGCACAATTTCACGCATTGTACGAGCTTTATTCACTGGTTGGAAGATATATATACATATATATATATATATATACATATATATATATATATATATACATATATATATATATATATATACATATATATATATATATACATATATATATATACATATATATGTATATATATATATATATATATAAGGAGAGAGACTGTTGCTTCCTGATGAATTCTTTTTCCGACCGAGAAACGAGACACATATGTTTTCATCAATAATTTTTGTCGTAGCGAGCCCGTTCGCCTGAATGATGCCTGTTAGGCTCAACTTAAGCTTTAAGATAGCGCATCCACAAAAACAAGCAATGCTAGCCAGTAACGTGTTGTAGATAACGGTCAAGAACAGATGATTCGAGGCAAAAAAAACGCATTCTCCCATCCGTTCATGTATCAAGAGGACTTCGTAGAGATCTACATTAAATGTTTTATATTAATATAGCTTTATACTCACTTAATCACGGTTTCTTCGGTGAGCGATGGTTGCGTTCCTCGTCTCGTTTGCACTCTACATTCACATATTAGGACCTGCTTTTGTTTTAAGTTTTCTTGGAAAAGGCTTGGATACTCGTCTATTAGCCCCGCTCATGATATGTTCACAACGCTGTGCGGTGCGGAATGCCCAATACTCGTCCAAAATGACTAGCGTCGATGTTATGCCTCAGCATTTCTTGTCATGACAGGTCGCTTCTTAGACAAGCATCCGACCACCTTATGCTGGTATGTATAGGCTCTTATCTGCGAACGTTTATATTATCGAATAGGCCTGCTAAACATTCTGCTTGTCATGCTTACGGCCGTCTTTAGGTTCTAAAATAGCCAGCAAACGTCGGCAAAGATTGTTATGAAACGCTCTGGTAGATCGGCCAGTTTGACTGTTTAGTCTACTGACGACCGACCTACTGCGTGGCTCTCCTCGTTTCGCCGATAGCCGACTTTAGCCAGGTGCGCTCAATACGCAGACTTTCAGGAACTCACGTAATCACGGCCAAGGTTAACTTTAGATTTTGCTTTCACCGATAGTCGTAAGCGCCTCATAGACAGCTGCAACGTGGCGCAAACTCGTGACACAAGAGCCTCGCCAGGGTCAAGTGTTACTCATGCAAAGACCTTACATTGCGCACCGTCGACAGTAACACAAGCGGGCGCTTTCAGCGCAATCGCTATACTGTAGCCATACAGGGCGCGCAAATGCACGTGGGTGTCGAGGCAGTCTGTGCACTGACCATCGAAAAATCAGTAGTCCGCCTAGTTAACCTTTAATTCAACATATTATATATATGTTGTATATATGTATATATAAACATATTATATA